ACAATAAAATAAATATTAAAATTCCAATTATAACCCTTACAAAATCAGGGGTATTACAAGTACCTAATTGACAAATAATATCAAGAATGAGAAACGAATATGCAATGGAAAATAAAATAAAAATAGAAGCAGTCTAATGAACACTATTGTCTAGTTTAATTCCAACAAAACCATTAATCCCTGGCAAAGGCGCCAAAATTTGACGAGCCTTTCTTCTATGTGTTTAGAAAACGGACTTTGTAATGTGAGAGGTCGCTTCGCAAGGTCAAAATATGAATGTGGTTTCAGAAGTCTTTCTAGTCAAATTTACATTTATAAAACCACCACTATAACTACTGAAGTATAGTGAGTAGGGATCATCCACATAGATTATACGTGTTGGAATTTAACTTCGACTCTAATGTACCAATTGATTGCAAAGAGAGAGATCGGTTGATTAAACTAAGATGCAAGGAAATTAAAATGCAATTAAAATAAACTAAGTTGAGTTAGGGATTTAAGAGATGAGAAGTGAGGTCTTGGGATCTATTGAAATTGCCACCAAACTTGTTCACCAAACCACACACTTTCAAATAATTTGGGGAAAACATTATTGTAAACAAAATACGTCTACTATTGCAATATTAAGCATGGACCATCAAATTCATGTATGAATTGTCTACCTAACCGATAAATAAACTAAGTGTAGCACAAAAGTACAACAAATCCTAATATGGCTCTAAGTTTTTAAGAGACGCAATGCGGAAGTCCTATAACGAAAACACTCCTAAGGATACTAGAACCTGGAGTGCTCTGATACCAACAGTGATACCCCTGAATTTCCGGATGCGGGTTGGCCAGACCCACGCCCGATAACCCGAGGATATCAAATCAATTAGCAATAATCGAACACAGAATACAAATAAGAAAAACAAGAATAAATAAATTGCTGAAGAGAAACTAGAATAATAATCCAAAACCTCATAATAAAATTACAAACTATCAATAACAGTACAGCAATTTAATAACTAAAACCAAAAGCCAGGTAATTGCAGAATAGTTTATACAACACTACACCAATTACAGTTCAAAACCATAATCCAATTACTTGTAAGATAATATCTAAGATCCCACAATTAACATCCAAACCATGTAAATTACAACCTATAAATAACAGTATAGCAATTTACAATCCAGAACCATCCCAAATAATTACAGAAGACTATTTATAGTTTCAGCAATTTAAATCCAAGAGTTAAACCATGTATTTGCAGGAAACGGTTTAAAGGTTCAACAACTAGCATCCATAGCATGCGTAGATCACATCTAATATATCAATGACTCTATAATGCATTAAAAATAAGTTTTTAAATCACATTATAGTCCCATAAATTGCTAGATTAATTTGAGCAACTTAATTTTCTCCATCAGGTTGCGTGCTAAGTTGTATACTGATATTCTGTTTAATCTGTTAGTACAGAGCCCCAAGAAGCTACAAGTCTAATTGTTATTCAAAAGACTCCATCACACATTTAAACTTTAATTTAGAACTATATTATAGCCCCTTAAATTGTCAAATTAAAATTAGACAATAAATTTCCTTCCAGCCGTTACCCGTACGCACAATTGTTAAATTAGCACACTGTTAATTTCATTCACTTAGAGGTCAAGCTTACTCAATTTAAGGACTTAATAACTCTCAAATCCAACCTTCTAATCCCTCTGTAAAACCCCAGAGTCAATAGAAATGTTCCCATGCTCCAATAGTATCCAAACAGTTCGTAGAATTTTTTTCAGAAAATTACTATTTGAAAGAGCCTGCTCTAAATTCCAAGAGCAGGCTCTTTTTTGAGCCTGGAGCCGGCTCTAAGAATGTAGAGCCGGCTCAATGAGTGTGGGAGCTGGCTCCCACATCCATGGAGCCGGCTCTCACCTCCTTTGAGAGCTTCCAGTCCCCGTTTGCTCCGTCCTCGTCCTTCTGCTTCTTCTCCGGCCTATGTCCACCCTTCAGTTGATTTCTAAAACTTATCCTAGGGTCTTATTAATACCAAAACAGACTCCCAATGGTTTTAGAACAACAATTGAAATCAAATACAGAGATTTAACTAAGCAATTTACTAGCATGCTTAAAGAGCAAAACTGGAACAGACAATAACGAATTTATTTCAGACCACTTTCTCAGACAACAGATAATGAAATTTGACATATAATAATCATGCAAGATCCATTTAAGACTCAACAAATTCCCTAGAGTCTAAAATTACAACCGGACTAACAAGCTTTTCCAATAAAACTGAAAACAGATGTGTACGAATTCTGTAATAGATTCGATTACAACCCAAACAGATTATCAATATAACATACAATTAGCATGTAAGTTTTAGTTTATAATTTATTTAACCCTAGAGACTACCTAGGTGCACAGAACATAAGCCAAAGGGAAGGAGAAAGTAGAAGAACTTGCCTGTAGCTTTGGTCTCAAAACTGTGTTGTCGTCTTCCTAATTTCCGGCAACCACTGACCACCTTCAAGCCTCCTATGGTTTTGGTTTAATCCACCACAACTCTCCCTTGGCCCTCTCTGTTCTCCTTCTAAGTTTTGTTCTGTTTTTACTCTCGTTCAATTCTCTCCAAACTCTTTGTATTTTCACTGTGTCGTGAACAGGGTTATCAAACCCTAGGGACGTATAAGTTATATATTTATAACTAACTCAAAATCCTAAGTCAATAAAAACCCTAGACGTAAATCCTAATTAATTATGTCGGCAAGTCCATAAAAATACTAAAACCCTAAAAGATAATTCATATACTTAATTTAATTAAACAGTTACGTCCATGCAAGAAAATAATTAATAATACAATTAAAGTAAGCATAACAACCAAAAATACAATTAATTTAATTAAAATATACTTAACTAAATAAGGCAATTCAAATACAAAACTAACAGTTTAAAACAAATAAACCAATTAAACATTTAAGCAACTAGCCACATAAAAATAAATAAATAAATAAATAAAGATAATTGAAATTCCAATTTTATTCTTTTTAAAACTAGGGGGTATTACAAATTCCCCCTTTATAAAATGTCCTTGGAGTAGTGAACAAGTCAGAAAATAAACCCTTAAAATATCTAATCCCGCAACTATGTGGTAGGTAGAGTTCGGGAGCATAGGAATAAAACAGTTCGCTCCCAGCACATTTTTGATCGATTAAAGAAATCTTCGATCGATCGATCCAAAATATCTTCGATCAATAGAATAAATCTTCAATCGATCCAAATTTTCAGCATTTTTAACTTTTTTTCTGGATTTTTCTGAAATATTTCTGGAACTTTTGCTTAATTCCAAAAAGGCTGTAATAGACCATTTTTAGCCCGTTTGAACCTTATTAACCTGAAATAGACAAAAACACAAATAAGTACTAAAACGGAAAAATAAAGATAGATGAATGGACTAAAATACCCTCGCTTAGGTGCTAAAATGTGTCACATTTGAGCGTTCATCATCTGTCGTCCACCGCCACCTTCCACCACTGCGACCACCCGCCGCCTTCCAAACCACCACCTATACCACTACTGTATATTTTCCACCTCCACTATCATCTTCATCTCCATCCAACACCACCACCATTTCTTTTATAAAAATTATAAAAGAATGTTATTTTGTTAACTTAATTTATTGTCATTAAGAGGGGTATTTTGGAGAATTCAATTCAAATTCATTATATTCTAAATTTTAAATTTGTCCAACCAAACACTAGAATGATTATTCATATACATATCATATTTGCAACCAAATAATAGAATTAGAATGACTATTCCATTATAATCCCATGCTCATTACATACTTGCATTTCATTCCATTCCTGCAAAACAAATGCAACATAATAGCAATCATATTTGTGGAAGGAGATGAAAGGAACCATTTTATTGAATTTACAACTATACCCTTTTTATAGATTTAATTTTTTATAAAATAATGACAAATTTGATATTAACAAAGTTGCATTAGAAATATTTGTCTTTCATCCCATTTTGAAATGATAACAAAAGTTACTATTCATGCCTTATTGCATTCCACTGAATCCTTTATTTTCCTTCCAACATTTCATACTAGAAACAATCTATCATCTTTATTACCATTATTATTATTTTTTTCCTTTCATTTCCATTGTGCCAAATTGGCCCTAAAATCGCAACATAAGAGATTACCGATTATATATTAAAATTAGAGGTGCAACTTGGGTTACGTAACCCGAACCCACCCAAGCCCAGCTTGATTTTTTATGGGCTTAGACAATCATTTTTATGATTAAGTTTGGGTTTTGGATGAAAAATTCTAACCCAAACTTAATTAGGGTTGAGTTTGGGTTGAGGTGCTATAAACCCGGGTCGAACCTGAACCCGGATTCTATATATTTTTTTTTCCATATATATTTTTATTTGAAATGCATTATATATACTATTCAAATTACGATCACCTTTTTTCTTTCTAACTTCATTTGGTAAATCGTAATTTATTTTATGTTAACATTTAGTAGAATTAATTTTCTAAGAGTTTGTTGGTAATTTATTTATAAATTTGCAATAAGTTTTTAAAACTTTTTTTAAGAGTAATTTAATCATAAAGTAATTCAAGCCCACATTAAATTTGCACCGTGGAGATTGGTCATATGGATAACTTGAATTAGTCTGACTTTCTAACCCGAAATTTAAGTTCGAATTGTAAACCCGAGTTCAAAAAAAAAAAAGAAAAAAAAAAAAGAGATGAACTTGGGTTTAATAGCTAGGGTTGAATATAGAGTTAAGTTTAAGATCGGATTGAATGTAAGGTTAGGATTGGACTCGATTGAACATTTTATATATTGAGTTGCTCCAGTTCGCTTGAGTTGCAGCCTAATTTAAATCTACCGGGTCTAACAATTTTCGAGAAAAAAATGGGGAAGGGGCGGCGCAGATTAGGCCAAGTTATTATACTTACAACTCGCTCGAGTTCCACAGTTATAGGTTAAAAAAAGGAGAAAGGAATTGTGGCGTTTGTAAGTCACAAGGCGCGTTGGAGTTTTGTATGCCTCCCACCCCAACCAAAAAAGGAAAAGAAAAACCTACACCCTTCCCATCTCTCTCACCCAAAAACTTGCAACAAAAGCTCTATACCCATTTTCTCTCACACCCGAAAGCCCTAGATGCAACAATGGCATTAAGCTACTCCCTCTCACACCGAAAAACCCTAGATGCAACAATGGCATTAAGAGCTCTCAACACAATCTACTCGAAGCTCCTCTCTCGAATGGCTGTTTGTTCCCTCCGCACATTCGCTCCCATCAACTCCAATTCCGAATCAGATAATCCAACTAATAATTCGGATTCGGACTTACGTTCAAAACAACTTCCTCATGCCGAAGGTAAGAAAAACAGAGCATTCAATCGATTTATGAAAGACGGGTCAACGTTCCCCCGCAAGGTGTTGAACGACGACGAGAAATATGCGAGGATGGACATGCCGGTGACCCGGAAGCAAGGGCTGAAACTGCTGGTTGCAGACAACTCTCTGAATGCCGTGGAAGAGGTGGATGATGATCCTCTGTCCGTGGAGGAGTACCGAATGAGTTACTTCGGCAACATCGATCTTCCTCAGAGCCTCTACAAGATGGGAAATATCGTAACGGAGCTCAAGGACATTGCGTTTAGCTTGAAAGTAAGTATTACTTTAGTAGAATCGGATATTTAAGTTGTGCTTGTAACTAATAGGTTTTTTTATTTTTATAAAAGAATTTGCTTTATCAATTTGGGACTACAATTGATGGGATTTCAAATACCGGGTAGATTGGAGAAGAAAAATTTAATCCTTTGAATTAATTTTTCTTTAATTAATTCCAAAGCACCAAATCCATGCAAACCCACACCGTCTATAAGGAAACAAATGTCTAAGATCTTCTTACTCTCTAGTTTATATTTATCTCTAGACTCTTGAGTGCTTTCCGTATGTCTAATGTCTTCCTACCCTGTAGTTTTTCTTTTATTTCTATATTCCATTCCATATCACATCTTCCAACTGCACTCAAGTTTAAACACTAAACTATTATATCACGCTCAATGAATTTGCGCCTACTCTTATTTATATTATAAAATTGGTTCTAGAATTATTAAAAAACATATTTTAAAGATATTTACGAGCAATCAGACAAATTTCTAGTTTAGAACATTTTGAGAAGTTAAAGTTCATTTTTTTTATATACTCATTTTACAATTTTATATCTATATATAATAATATTTTCACTTCGAATCCCATCTTACATCCAAACTAAAAACTGAATTTCTTTCTTTCTTTCGAATCCAATTGTTCCAAACATACAAATGGAATTTCATTTTAATTCCTATCTAATCCCAATTCCAACTCCTTTTTCATATTCAAATCCCAAAAGGAACTTTTTTTGGATAAGTAAGGTTTTATAAAAGGCCCTCAAAAGGGGAGCGATCCCAAAGAAGACAACGGCGGACCCACAATCGGCTCTATAGCTTTAAGCTATCCACAAAATTCAAAAGACTATCCATTGAATTACAATCCCGCCCATATACGCAAAAAAATAAAGAAGTAAGAATATTGTATTTAATAGCCCAAATGGGAGACTCCTCTCCTTTAAAGAATCTCCTATTTTTTTCGCACCACAGACCTTACCAAATACAAAGGGGAGTGGCCCTCCAAGCATCTCTGACTCGACTTTCCACTGTCCATCCTTTCTAAGTCTTTAACAAGTCGACCGTGGATTTTGGGAACACCCATGGAAGACCAAACGCAACCCAAAACATAGCCCAAACATCCCTAGCTACTGAGCAATGAATAAGGAGATGGTTGACAAATTCCCCCATCTTCTTGCACATGTAACACATGTCAACCACAATATGACTTCTTTCTCTAAGGTTATCAATAGTAAGGCTACTTCCCAAAGTGACAGTCCACGAGAATAATGCCACCTTCAGAGGAGCTTTTGTCCTCCAAATGGCTTTCCAAGGAAACATAGGGCCAGGGCGCTCCAACATGCATTTGTAGAAAGAATTGACCTCGAACACTCCTCTCGGGGTACCCACCCACAACATCTCGTCCATTCTCACCCTAACCACCACCTGTTTATAGATGAATGCTAGGAAGTCTGTAACCTCCAAAAGTTCCCAATCGTGAAACTGTCTGCGGAACTACACATCCCAAGTCACCTTCCCATTATCGAGTCGATAATAGTTAGCGACCACCGCATCTCTAGCCATAGCAATCCGGTAAATGCGAGAGAATCTACTGGCTAAATCCGAATCCCCACACCATTTGTTTTCCCAAAACTTGGCATTACTTCCGCTTCTAACTTTGAACCGAATACGTTTGGAGAATTCATCCCAACCTCTACGGATAAGTTTCCAAGAGCCCATACCTGCTAGGGTTCTAGGCTCCTAGCCTCCCTAGAAATCCACCCTTCATCGCCCTCCCCGTAATGACAAGCTATAACACGCCTCCAAAGCTTGAACCTTTCTCTCCCGAACCTCCACAACCACTTGCCCAACAATGCCTTATTTAACACATCTAGCCTTCGAATCCCCAAACCCCCTTTATTAATTGGAGAGCACACCCTCTCCCAGTTAACCAAGTGGTACTTGAACTCACCTCCTACACCCCCCACAGAAACTTCCTTTGAATATTATCAAGTCTTCGAACAACTGTCTTAGGCATCGGAAATAGCGACATATAGTAGGTCGGAAGATTTGAAGTGTGCTTTTCATAAGTGTAACCCTCCCCCCTTTGGACAAGTATTGCTTTTTCCAACTTGCAAGCCTCTTCCCAAACCGCTCAACAATCGGATCCCACACAGAAACTCTCCTTGATGAGGCTCCCAAAGGGAGTCCCAAGTAGGAGATCGGAAAAGAGCCAACCCCACACCCCAGAGTATGCCAAGGCATGAATATCATCCACCTCTCCAACTGGTACAATCTCGCTTTTCACAGTGTTAATCTTCAACCCTGAAACAACTTGGAAGCAGGCCAGTACGCACCGTAAATACCTCAACTGAAGGTGGATAGCATCACAAAAGACAATGGTGTCATTCACAAAAAGCAGGTGGGAGATGACCAACTGATTTGGAGCTTTACCCACCGAGAATCCATGAATGAACCCAAGATCACCCGCCCTCCCCATCAGATGGCTAAAGGCCTCCATGACGATAATAAATAAGAATGGGGAAAGAGGGTCCCCCTGCCTCAATCCAAGGGAACTAGCAAAAAAACCAGCTGGGGATCCATTCACTAAAACAGAGAATCGAGCAGTCGAAATACAGAAAAAAATCCACGACCTCCACTTTTGCCCAAAGCTCATTCTCTCCCTCAGGTACATCAAAAAATTCCAGCAAATATGATCATAAGCCTTTTTGATATCCAGCTTGCAAACAACCCCCGGAATACCACTTCTCTCCCTAGCCTCAATGCATTCACTAGCAATCAAAATTGAATCCAGAATTTGACGCCCTCCACCAAATGCATTCTGGGAGTTTGAAATCACCCCTTTGAGAACTCTCCACAACTGAAAACTTTTGTAATAATTTTATACACCACCCCAACAACACTAACTCCTTCGCCTCACATGCTCCACCCTCTTTGGGAATAAGAGTGATGAAGGAAGCGTTGAGGCTCTTCTCAAAAGAACCATGCAGAAAAAAAGAATCCAATGCCCCCATCACCTCAGCCTTCACCACCTCCTAATTCTGATGAAAGAAAGCTAAAGTAAACCCCTCCGGCCCTGGAGCTTTATCCCCATCACAGCTTCTTAGAGCCGCCAACTCCTCATCTTCCCCAAACGGCATTTCAAGCCCGTTTCTATCGCCTTCCGAGATTGTTGCAAACTCAAGCTCATTTGAAAAGTTGTTCATTTGAACTAGACTTGGTTTATAGCGTGCCCCTGTAGAGAGGTGATGATATGCTGTGTTTACATTTTTCTGAAGGAAAGAGGCATTGAAGGTTACAATGACAGAGAGGGCTCTTTCTGCAGTGAGGTCCTATGTTCATATAGAGTAAATTAAATAGAGGAGTCCTCTCCTTCTGAAAGCTTCTAAGGACTAATCCATGTGAGGAAGCCTTTAGTTTCTGGGAGACATTGATTCGCAAAAGATGGAATTTTGCCAGCGGTGGGATTCATGGGCGTAATAGGAAACTATGATTTGTAGTCTCTGCCTATTTTTACATGTCAATTACCTTAGTTCTGTTTTTGCTTCATGTTCTTTTTAAATATTGGAGATTATAGCAGAATAGGTGGTTTATTTTTGCAGTATTTCAATTAAGCTCAACATTTCTGGAAGGGGAATTGTAGCATCAGGCTAGATTGTTTGTCAGGAACCTTTTATTATGACCCCCATAGTAATTATTCAATTAATTTGTGAGTTTCATTGAACAAGATTATGTGCCATGTAGACCACTTTCTTGTGTATTTCTGGTATTCTCCATCCCTTAGAATGAATACTGTTGTTATAGGTGGAATATGAAGCATCCGGAGTGAGCTTTTGGTAGAAATAGCTAGGGGCACTTCCATACAGGATCTTCATGCAAGGTTAACAAATTACTTCAGAAACCCTCCCTCACCAACCCCCCCCTCCCCTCTCCTTTTCTTCTCTCTCTCTCTCTCTCTCTCTCGTGTTTTCAAAAACAAACTCATGAGATGGTGGATAACAATTAGGAAGTGCGAAAAATCGAGAGCCCACTTAGTGACACTGACAGTGCTCCCTTGGCTGTTTTTCTTTGGTAGAACACTTCCATTGATTTTAAAAGTGACATTTATATTGGGACGGAGGGAGTATTATTTATAAGTAACATATCATAAAATAGCGCTTGAAAAGGGAGCATAACCCAAATAGAAAGCTCACAGCCAAAACAATATGCTATATCCTCAAAATATCCCTAAAATTATCATATCTTCTACAAATTTACAATTTCAACCGTTTACCATAACAACTAACAAAAATAAGAATATAGAAAGAATAGAGAATTTGAGTGCCCAAGTAGGAGTCTCCTTCCCATCAAGAGATCTCCTATTACTCTCTCTACCAAATACCTGACCACGAGCAAAGAGGAGCAATTTTCCAAGCATCTCGAACTTGCTTCTATTGTACTTTCTCTTCAAGCTGTAAGCATGCTGTTTGTAGAATGAGGCATGACCAAAGAAACACCAAAGCAGGCAAGAATAAAGCCCTATCTGTCCCTAGTCACTGGGCAATGCAAGAGTAGATTGTTCACCGACTTCTCATCCATCTTACACATACAACACCAATTGACGATCAGCTACGCTGACTCTGCCTTCTCCTGAGGTTTATCAATGGTCAGAATCCTCTCTAAGGTTGTCCGCCCTAAGACCATGGTTGTTAAAATCGCGTTTCTAACTCGTATAATCGCACGATTTTACGATCCAACACACCCAAATGGATCCGAATCGCCTAAAAATCGTTGCTTGTGTAGAATCGCTGGGAGTGTGGGTAGAATCGTGGGATCGTACGATTCTATACGATCCCAGTGATTCTAAATGACTCCATGTTTGTGGTCTTGTTTTGGGTTTAAGAGTTGTCAGAATAAGAAGAAGCCCTAGATCGATTAGCATAGTGCCACAATTCCTTCTCTTTCGCGGTCGACAAAGCAGCTCCGACGAAGAGATAAGATGCCTGAGGAAAAAAAAAA